CAGGGACTACACTAAATCCTCATCAATGATGGATGGGTGATGGGATCAACAGTAGTAGCTGAAATCTACAAAACTGTAGGGACTACACCCATATATATGTGACTTGAAGTGTTGTCTTGGAACCATACTCCCCCTCACTGTAGGGACTAAATTGCCATTACTGACTGATGGGGCCTGCAGGGACTAAATTGCCATCACTGACTGATGGGGCCTGCAGGTACTAAATTGCCTTCACTGATTGATGGGGCCTGTAGTGGCTGGAAGCGACAAAACTACAGGGACTGCCATCACTAACTGACGAGGTGATGGGGGCCTACAGTGGTTGGAAGCATACGGCGCCTGGACAGCGGCAAACGGCGCGACAGCGGCAAACGGCGCGACAGGGCAAACGGCGCGACAGCGGCAAACGGCGCGACAGCGGCAAACGGCGCGACAGCGGCAAACGGCGCGGAGCTGAGAAGTGGCTCTTGAAACCGGCGTGGTTGGCCGTCGCTCGAAGAGACGGTCTAGATCCGAAGGTCACCTGTCGAAACTGTGATGGTGGCCGGCGGTGGCGACGGCGACAACAGCGGCGACGACGGTGGCCGGCCGCGGACAGAGGTTGGAAGCGGACAGTGGCTGGCGATGGTCGACAGTAGAGGCGACTGGCTGCACTGGTATTGACTGTGGCACAAATTTAAGAAGAAGAGAAAGGGCTGCCCACTGAAATTTTAGGGCTGCCGGCTGAAATTTTAGGGGCTGCCGGCGGCCATGGCGGCTGGCCGCCGGCAGACAGCAGAGACCCCGGAAGAAGATCAGAGAACCTGCTCTGATACCATATTGAATATAGTGAAAAACTATATTTGGATTAATCTCCCTTGTGTAAAATACACACATAGGGTTCTCTATTTATAATAAAAGAAATATGGGCTAAGCCCAAAATACAAAAGAGAAATAATAACAAACTAACTAAAAGATAAAAGATATAATATATCTAACAGATTTTAAATGTTAAAACTAGTTTTTAAAAGCGAGAACCAATTATTAGCTTAAGATTTATAACCATTTTTAGTTATAGCTGGTCATGTAACCAGTTCTTTCATTTCTACAAAACCAAAATCAATTATGGAAACAAGTTATGGGTTGGTTATAATATTCACTTGTCATGTATGGTAAATATTTTTAACCATTTTTAAGATATATATCTGATTATATAATCAGTTTTAGTTACAACCGGTTATATAATCAGTTTTTCATAAATTAGAATTAGTTTTACCAAACCAAAATCAATCATGGAAATCATTTATGGTTTTGTTATTATAATATTCGCTTGTCAAGTAGGGTTAATTTTTATGATCATTTTTAATCAACAGGTTATTATAAAACTGGTTAATTGGGATTAAAGTGAGTTCACTTAAAACCAATTATTATGATAGCCCCTACACAGAAATAGGATATGTTAGGCACTGTTGTTCCATTTGGATAGCATATGTTTGATGCATAACAATTATAAGCTTTTAGTGAAGAGTCTAGCCTTTGTTGTCATGTGTTTGAGCTTTCTGTTATAGTTTGTCTATCTTACAAAAAAAGTAAGACATATGCACAAACTTTTCTACTACTGTTTATAGGAGAGAAAAAACAAAATGAGTTTGTCCATAAGCTAAAATTAGCGTATACATAAATTAATTTGTAGATATTTCTGTATAGCGTCTCTAATTCTTATTTTAAACTTGAAAATAAATTAATTTTAACTTATGGAAAAACTCATTCAGTTATTTTGTTCTTTTTTTTTTCTCTTTTAGAAGTGTTTATGGAGAAGTTTGTCAAAGAGACCCATAGTGCATTCTTTAGAAAATATCCTACGTTTTTTTTTTCGTTTGCCAATTTGGGCCATGGCAGGTGTATAGAATGTTGTATCATTTCATGTAATTGTAGACCAAACTAAGCAGTTGTCTCTGTACACATTTTCTTTGACAAATTGTTTATACATTTATTTGTTGTGAAACATGGAATGAGCCAAACGATAGAAGTTGGTTGGTGTTTAGTTTAATTAATTCAAACCTCATCTAAATTATTAGGTGATATTTAGCAACATTCATTGCAAACTCGTTGCTATTTGCAAGTTTACTAGATTTAGAAATAAAAAAACTGAAATTGGTTTTGTATTTTTGTTGTTTGACAAAGTATTGTTATCATTTCCTTTCGTATAGTTTTCTACCACTTACTGGTTGATGATTTATTCTTGGTCTTACAGGTGTTAAAAGATTTGTCTATATCTCTGCTGCTGACTTTGGTGTAGTAAATTACTTACTGCAGGGGTATTATCAAGGAAAGGTAATATGTCTTACTCTTTATCGTGAGGATGTTTTGAGGAATGAATTATTAGTTGATGAATATTGCTAGGAAACATGTGACGGAGAAGTATGAAAAATTTTACATTCCATGGGTGCATTAACACTTGCTTCATAGTTTTGACTTCTTAGTTATTTGAAATTTACAGTTTAGGACAATCACCTAGAGCATGATTTAGTAGATTTAATATTGTGATTCAAAAGTTTCGTATGATTTGGAGCAAACCACTTTGTTTTCTACCATCGCTCACCTACTTATTGCATTTATCTAGTTTTTTGTGCTAATAGCATTGTCATTATAGTAATGATCAACCAGGTAGCATGAAGGTGAAGCAAAAATTTTTCAAGTGTTTTTAAACAAAAGATCTTGGTAAACTAAAATATTTCTTGGGTGACTGGGTGGGCTCCCACTCCCCCATTCATAGAAGGTCGACCTCCAGTTTATGTATATTTGTTAGATATAACAAGAGGCAAAATGTTATAGTCAGGTCCAATGCCAAGGCAAATTATCGAGCTATGGTTGTTGTCAGTCTGGAGCCTGTATTAATCAAACAGTTCCTTCAGGATTGAAAGTTTGAGGAGGCTGCAAGTTATCACTTATGTGATAATCATACCACAATGCATATTGCCTCAAATTCAGTACTCCATGAAAACGATGAAATATATTGACATTGATTGTCACTTTTTTAGACGGGGAACTATAAGCTAGTTTTGTCAATTCCCAATATCATCTAGCTTGTTGCATATGACCTATATCCTTTAATCTGTGGGGAGTGTTAAAGTCTTGTAGATATGTTAGAATCTCATATTTATAGTAATTAATGATATCAGGATCAATTAGATTGATTATATAATTATGTTATTAACCTAAAATATGGTAACTGGGCATTATTTAATTATGTTCTATTATCTTTAAATTGCATAGCTCCACCACGGTTTAAACACAGAATTCATCACATGCCTTCTTTGTTTCTTTATTCTAAACATATATATAATTCTTGCCACCATAAATCTACTACTTAAAAACTACCTTCCTAAACATATGATTCCACCTTTTTGCTTCCCTCTAATAGACTTGTTATGTCCTTTGTGCATCCTCCTAATTCTGGAAGATTCACCTCCTGATGGTTTTACTGATTAATCTCCTGCAATACCCTTCTGTCTTTTTTTCTCTCCAAGTGAACAAGCCACTGACATGGTCTTTCCTCAATCTGAATGAACTTGGATCTTCAGAGTTGGGTCCAAGCCATCGTATGTAATAGATCATGTAAAGAGATACGTAATGATTTAAATGGTTGGCTGATTCTAGTCATCTATTTGTGATATTCTGAATTCTATTTGTGCTGCAATCTTTAACACGCTTGCATTAAAGAAAAAAAAATTGTAAATTTGATGCTGAAACGTTTTCTATTTTTAATATAGTGAAATTTTTATATAGTGTCGTAACTTATGCAGAAAGCTGCTGAAACAGAGCTCCTGAGCAAATTTCCATATGGAGGTATGTAATGGCAATTTAGAGATCTCACTTTCACTGGTCAAATTATAATATATAAATAGTTATTAATTTCATTTTATGAGTAGTTGGTTGAGGTTGAGTTGAGTTTAAATTTTATTTTCTTAAAATACTATTAAAGACATTTATAGTTTATTTTCTCGCAGTTTTGTATTCTATTTTAACAAATTATTGCAGATATTTCAAAGAAAGTATAAATCGTTACTAATGATTCTTGTTACTGGGGAGTATTATGCTCGTATATGATTGCCCTATTACATGCTTTTTTCAGGAGTAATTCTAAGGCCAGGATTTATTTACGGTACTCGAAGTGTTGGGAGTATGAAGTTACCCCTTGGTGTAATTGGATCTCCATTGGAGACGGTAAGTTCACGTGCTTCTCTAATACGACAGACATTACTTATCTCCTTCGATGATTTGACATTAATTTTAGAGTAAATTATAATAATCCCTTGTTAAGTTTTCTGAAATTGTACAAACAGTTCTCTACTTTTTCTATCCCTACATTTACCTTTTTTAGTTGGTTAACCCCCCTTTTTACATTACACTGATTCTTTGAAGTGTTTGGAATAAAAATTAGAGCACGTACACTTATAAGGGAGGTTATCGTAAGTGTGAAAAATGTGGGGCCTGTCTGTATATCTGTATGTCTGCAGTGCACATTTATGGCATAACACTTTTTACTTTTTCGGTTTTGATTGAACGTCTAATTCCTAAAAATGATTTAGTTTCTTCTGAATATCAGCTTAATAAATTTGTTCGTATGTATTTTTACATGACTGCTGTAGGTTCTTCAAGTTGCTAAACCATTAAACCAGATCCCACTTATTGGACCTCTATTGACACCTCCTGTCAATGTTACTGCGGTGGCAAAAGTTGCTGTTAGAGCTGCTACTGATCCTGTTTTCCCACCGGGGATCATAGATGTCTACGGAATACAACGTTACAGTCAGCATAAATCAAACTAAAAATATCTTTATTTTGTTCTCTGGGTCAATCTAATATGGAGCGATTTGCTTCTGAATATCTGTGTTTTCTGAACTGAGAATATTTCTGCATATCACTTCCTTGGCAGAATAAAGTCTGAAAGTGCGTGCATGTAGCCGTATATCTACATTTTTAAAATGTTCAACAAGCCATAATTCTTTGGTTGAACTATGTCGCTTAATGTAATTAACCCACTTGGTAGGTAGGTGGTCCGAATGTTTGATTAGTTTTGAAGACGACCGAGATGAACTGTGGACAAAGGCTCCGTCAAATCACGTAATTTTCAAAGGAAATAAAATAATAGATTTTACTTTATGGTAGTCTTGAATGGAAAGAATGAGATTCTAGTCTTAATCATTTGATCAGTCTTTATTCTGTTACTTGACTAGAAGAAATACATTTGGAACTGGTCGTCCAATCTATTTTTTATTTGTTTTGGGATCATGCACTTCCAGTCAAATTTTATGAATAAGGAAACGCGGATACACTTTACCAACCAATTATAAGGAAAATGTAAGCCTTTGGAAGACCGGCATTATGAGCCCTCAATAAATATGGATGGAGAAAAATTAAGACTGGAGAAAATTAAATGAATTCATTCTGATATATAAGAAAATTGAAGCATAGAACAACATTCACCAAACACAAAGGTCATCATTGCGGTTCATTTCCTTGTACATCTTCACAAAAAACGAGGAAGAACAACGGTTCATTTCCTTGTACATCTTCACAAAAAACGAGGAAGAACAACGGTTCACCCTTCGCAACTGATTAAATGTGAAGGAAAATTAAAAGAAATTTACATGAAGATGAAGTAGGGTCAGATTGGTCAAAGAAAAATTCAACACCAATCTTTTTCAAACAATCTCCAAATAATTTGTTTTAATAACGAAATATTATATTAAGATTATAACAACAAATATAATAAAATTTTAAAATTAAATAATGATATTCTATTGTACAGTGCCTATAAAAATATAAGTACAGTATGGTTTGACAGCTGTAAAAGTCTAAAATTATTCATGTATATTTTAATTAAAAGTAATATTCTTAAATTTCAATTATTATATATCACTAATTGTTTAGTATTTTTAACATGGTACTAATTGAACAATTAAAACATCGAAAGACAGACCGAGAAGAATATTATGTTAATCTTGAAAATATTTCAAATTCTATTATTATAATATTGATGAAGATTTTGATTTTGCCTCTAGAAAACATGTAGATTAGAAAAACTGTTTATACGTTATCTAGAACTTAAAAATCTGAAACTATAGATCTATTTCCAACTTAAATATTTGGAAAAATAATCATCCATAATAAACTTAAATATAAATAAATCTAATTAACTTAACCTTATTTAAAAACACCATTCTTAAATCAGTTTATAAGTTCAAAAGCACTGATTTTTTATTTATTAATCGTTAAAAAAATAGTTAAAATAAGTCAGTTACTGTTAGTTTATTTAGAATGAGAAAAAGTGCACTAATAATCTCGAAGAAGAATGAACTTGAGAAACACGGCGAGAAGAAGTGATTTATTTATTTATGAAAGCAAGAAGCAACTTGATATGTGTTGACCGTAAGGTCCAGGGGATGACGATGGCCAAAAAATGGTATATAAAAGGACCGTTAAAGCCCTTTAAACACTGATTTTCGTTGTATGAAACCTGTTTTCTCTCAAATCATATAATCATGAACAACACTTTGGTCGTAGCTGCACAAGATGGGGACGTAGACTTGCTCTACAAGCTGATTCAGATGCAACCCTACGTGTTGGAACAAACCGACTTCATGCCATTTGTTGACACTCCACTGCATGTTGCAGCTGCCGCAGGACATGCAAGTTTTGCCACTGAGGTCATGAGACTCAAACCCTCCTTTGCATGGAAGCTCAACAAGTGTGGCCTCAGCCCCATGCATCTTGCGTTGCAGAACAATCATCACAGATTGGTGTGTCGCTTTGTGGAAATCAACAAGGACCTCGTCAGGATCAAAGGGAGAGAAGGTCTCACCCCTTTGCATGTTGCAACTCAAACTGGGAGAGTTGACCTTGTGGCAAAGTTCTTATCGGCTTGTCCAGATTCCATCGAAGATGTAACTGTTCGAAGTGAAACCTCGCTGCATATTGCTGTGAAATATAACCAGTTTCAGGCTTTGGAGGTCTTAGTTGGATGGCTCCAGAGAAACTGCCAAAGACACGCTCAGAACCGCGAGAGAAGAATTCTGAACTGGCAGGACGAAGCAGGCAACACAGTTCTCCACCTTTCTGTTCTCAAAGTCTTCCCTCAGGCATGAGCTCCAATTCTTTCCTTTTACTTTCAAAATTTATAATATATAAGTTAGTGCAAACCTCATTTTACAAACAGATTTTGTGGTATACCTCAGCATAAGGTTAACATCAATTTTAAAGTTCACTAATTAATTATTAATTATTGCTTTGCATTTTGTATTCTTTGTGCAGGCAGTTAAGTTGTTGTTAGATAGCAAAATAGACATAAATGCCAAGAACTTTGAGGACTCGACAGCGTTGGACATAGTAGAGATTAACCAAACACAGGCTCAGAGTGCAGAAACCAGAGACATGTTAGTGAGCCGTGGAGCTTTACGTGGGTTTTCAGTTGCTAGCACAACACTCGTGGAAGAGCTACGAGCAAAAATCACATTGAATGAGAGAATAGCAATATCGGTGACTCGGCTGAGGAAGAGAATATCAACCGACACACGCAATGCTTTGTTGGTGGTGGCCATTCTTTTTGCGACAAACACTTACGAATCAGTGCGTAGCCCTCCCGGCGGAGTTTACCAAGGAGAGGGTAGTGTGATGCCTTCTAATAAGAAAATCAGCACATCATTCCAGCACAGTGAGTATGCAGCAATGCAAGAAATTGCTGGGAAAGTGGTGATGAAAATGCAAATCTTCAACTGGTTCTGGTCCTTCAATACGTTCTCCTGTTATCTTTCCATTTTGATGATATGTTTTCTGATGCCACGAGGGCGAATCAGTGTTTTCGTCACCTTTCCACTTTCTATATTTTCTGGATGCTACGTCTTCTCCATGTTAGTGATATCACCCAGTTTCAGGTTAAACACTGCCACTGTCGTTCTGCCATGCGTCTTCACGCTCTTCTACGGTTGGGGAAGTTTCATATACATTAGATTAGCCAAAAAACTTAAAATGTATGCACATAAACAGAAAGACACCTTCAAGTTTGTAGGAGGAAACAGATGGTAATGATTTGTGTTCATAACATAAAGACCAGAAATTTATTTTGGGAAAATGTTTCAGAAAATAGAAACTCTTTTCCCTTTCATTTTTTGAATGGTTAGAATCTGTCATTAAATAAATGTGTTGCACCAGAAAATAAATGCAACGAAGTTATTAATGATTCATCTATATCAAATGCATAAACTAAGATTTTATTAATTATATAATTTCCATTATGGATGGCAGTTGACGTTGACCATGATAGTAAGATCTAGGGGGTGGTGGTAGATTAATTGGTAGTGACATTTATAATGTACTGATCAATGTAAATAATTATTTTATTTGGATCTTCTATTTATATTATTGATAGGTTTTTGTTTATTATTGGTCTAATTATGGTTCATATTTTAATATGATTATCTAACTAATTTGTGTTAAGCTGCGTTTAGACTGGTTAATGGCATTGAACGTCTACTTATCAATCATGTGTTGATATAACCAATCAATTACCATGTTCGTTTGTTATTCTTAGTCACCTGACCAGTCGATCCATATTATTCAAAGATTCTATCGAGTTGATATGTTTTAGTTTCTTTCCCTTATTTAAGTTCTTGCATGATTCTGACAGCCGGAATGATTGATCGATGTCTAAGTTGGTTTGGTATCCTTGACTGTCTTAATCAATCAATCCATACTATACAATAATTTTATTTGTGAAGTTCGTTTGTAGTGTAAACAATACCCTTTCTGGAAATAGTTATGAGTTCACACTATTACTACTACTAATCCTAGACCCCTAGTTAATGCTCATTATTGTTCATGCACTTCCTTGAGAACACGATGCATTGATTACAAAACTTTCCTATGTTTTTATATATATTTTTTTATACATTAGCTGAAATTTACAAGGATATCACCTCAGGTACTGTTCAATACACTCTTTCAGTTTCTGGAGAGTTACAGGTTTTGACACAAACGAATCCATTCCATTTGCATAACACTCTTCGGCACTCTCTGACAAAGCATTTGCTGTCATCTGCATCATTATCATCAATATTAACACAATCATCATTTACTTCTCAAAAATTACTACACAGGAAATTAAAATCACCCTTAAGATTCTTTAGCATCACAAACAGACTCATTACTCACAGCAACAATGGGAATCCGCTTTCTACAAGGTTCAGAACATTCATAATCTGAGTCTCGAAGACTTTGCTCGATTCCTGCATTTCTTGCAGCATCCCAATTGCCTGTTTCCTCAAAAGATCGAATCAGTTTTGTTGCTTCAAGACCATTCATAACTGGCATGCAGACATCCTATGAAATGCAAGTGCCAAACGATTAGTAGAAACTCATATCAAGTAAATGAACAGACAAAAAATTTTTATGGTGAAACTGTCGCAAGATTCCATTACAGATCCCAGAAATTACCATCAGAATCAGGTTATACGTGCAGCGCTGAACTGCACGTACAGCTTCCACTCCATTATTCACAACATCTATGCTATGGCCTAATTGCTTCATCATGGTCTGTGTCACCACGATATTAATCTTGGTATCTTCAACAAGAAGGATCTTAGGCCATGATGAGGATTTGGTTACTCCTAGTGTACCGTTGCTTGATTGGATAGTTGTGTTAGTCTTCCCCTGACCCTGACATGTTTGTTGGGATTCACATGACTTTGTTGCTGCAGCCATTTCTCCACTTGCCACAGTTGCTTCAGAGGAATCTGCATAACCATTCAAGGACCAGGTATGAGCCTTATCTTGCTGGAGTTTATCTCTGCTAACTAAACTTCTGTTCTTTGATTCTGAGCTGTGATC